GGGCTCAAACTCACAGACCATGAGATCATGACCTGAGCAAAAGTCAGATGCCTAACCAACTGAGCCACCCAGGCGCCCCAAGCCAAACTTTTTTTTTTAAACCAGTTTGCTCTTTCTCCCATTAGTTTTTTTTTTTTTAGCATGGTATTTTTTTATTTGTTTATTTTGAGAGAGATAGAGAGAGAAAGACAGAGAGGAGGGGAGGGGCGGAGGGAGAGAGAATCCCAAGCACACTCTATGCTGTCAGCACAGAGCCTGCTCTGGGACTCAGTCTGAGACTGAGATCATGGCCTGAGCCGAAATCAAGATTTGGACGCTCAACCAACTGAGCCACCCAGGTGTCCCTCTCCTATTCTTCTAATACTACTTTTTCTAGTGTGTGTAAACAAGGAAATAGAATTTCAGCTAGTTTTATTTAAAATGTGGTAAGTGATGAATCATGAAAATCTACTCCTGAAGCCAAGAGCATGCTGTATACACTATATACACTGTATTCAGCTAACTTGACAATAAATTGTATTTTTTAAAAATGTGGTAAAAGCAAAATAAATGATTTCCTCACAAATTTGAAAATCATTTTTTGAAATTTTTAGAATTTAAATTCTTAGAAGGCAAATCTAGCAGCTAAACCAGTGCTGTTTATATTTTTATTTTTTGTTTTATTTTATATTTGAGACAGAGACAGAGAGTGAGCAGGGGAGGTGCAGAGAGAAGGAATCTGAAGCAAGCTCCAGGCTCTGAACTGTTAGCACAGAGCCCTGTGTGGGGCTTGAACTCAGAAGCAGTGAGATCATGACCTGAGCCAAAGTCAGACACTTAATCGACTGAGCCACCCAGGCACCCCAAACCAATGCTGTTTAATATATGCTTTTATTTAAACTTATAATACCTTTATTTTGACAATTTTGTCACATTGTTATTTGTATATTTATATACATAGAGATTCATATACTTGACTTTGTTTTTCAGCCTGAAGATATTTACCTCTTGTGGTTCTTTTACTTCACTCTTTTACCTTTCTTTTGAATATCTTCACTTTCTGGTCTTCAACCTGAGAACATTCTCCTTTGTTCCATTTCCTTAATAATTTCAATCATATTGCTCTGAAGAGGCTATCTGCAATGTTTAGCTCCTACTTTTTTTCTTTATCCTTGATCTCTTAGCCAAATCTAATTTCTCACAGTCCCCTTTTCAGGCTGAAAGTGATAGAATTATTTATTTCTTTTATCTACAAACCCTTCAGGAATTTTGTCATTATTAGGTGAAATACAGTAATTTCCTCTCTCTCTCCTCATTCCCATTCTCTCTTCCCCAGTACCCCCTCTTTCAGAATATTTGTCTGGATTTTCTTATTTCTACTTCTTAAGTCTTCAATTCATACCAGATTTTTTGATATCAGATGACTTTTCTCTCTATAATCTGTACCTGTTGCCATTGCCAAAATCTTCCTTGATAGTTTACCCCCACTATCAAATAGTTTACCCTCTGTCATATTAATTGATATGCTGCATTTGTGACCCCTATTTTTACTTTTTATTGATTCTTACATTCATTCTCTTACCCTTTCCTTTCAGCTGAGCAGATGTCTAGCTTTTTATTCTATCTCCTAATCTTCTAATTTACCTCCCTCAATGCTTATAATAAATAACTTCCTACCACACATCTGCCAACCTACCTATATTCTCATTAAAAGTTTGCTTGAAATCTTAACTCCTTTTAAGTGGGTAAAGATAGGAAAATAGCAAAAAGCCTATTTTACAATTGATTTAAATTTTTCCCCAAAAATCTGTATGCTAAATTAAAGAGAACTGCTTATAAAACAACAGCAACACTCAACCAATCAAAGCTTCCAGAAAAGGAAGGTAGTTTTAGATATTTTAGCCATCCTACTGAAATTTTGCTCCTGTTGTGCCTAGCAATATGTTAAAAGGGCGAATACAAACCCAGAAGTAGAAGACATGATTATTGTCCTCAAAGAACTAATAATCTAGGTTAGGAGACTAGGTTAATATATATGAAGCATTTAGAAAGTAGCTATAATAACTAGCCTGATAACCAAAATGCTGGTTGTGTTGTATAGACTTTAAGCATTATAAGTAATCAGGGGAAAGAGAACACATTATTGCTTGGAGCTGCCAGTCAAGATTTTATATGGGAAGTAGGTCTTGAAAAAAAATGTAGAATTTGGATTAGCTGGACTGAGGCTAGAAGACTTGTATTAGCATGTATAGGTAAAAAGAGAACTGCTTAGCAAAGATTCTAACAGAAATTAGTTGATTGTTAAAGAGAGCATCAACCTTTGTTCTAGGGAGGAGTAGGAAATATAATCAGTTAATTAAATTGGAACTAATTGATCAAAAACCTTGAATTCCAAATTGAGAAATTAAGAATTATTAAAGAAGGGGGCACCTGGGTGACTCAGTCAGTTGAGCGTCTGACTGTTGATTTCGGCTCAGGTCATGATCCCAGGGTCATGGGATCAAGCCCCTGATCAGGCTCTATACTGAGTGTGGAGCCTACTTAAGATTCTCTCTCTTCCTCTGCCCCTCTCCCCTACTTGCTCTCCCTCTATCTCTAAAATTAAAAAAAATTAAGAATTGGTAAAAAGAAAATTCCCTTCCTATACATTTTAGTTAGTCAAGGTTTTATCTTGTTTAAATATCCAAGATTTTCTAATATAAATAGTATTTGCTAACATCAAATGTTTTGCTATGTACTAAGCATTGTTCTAATTTTTATATGTAATACTAACTCATTTCATCTTTACAACAACCTTTTGTGGTAGGTCAATTTTAACCCCCTTATTTTACAAATGAGGATGAAAAGTTAACTATAACTGGTTCAGTTTGGCACAAGTGACAGAACCAGTATTCAAACTCAGGAAATTTCTGGTACCAGAATCTACATTCTTATCTGCTGTATGCATAATCTTATGGAGGATATAAGTGCTATAAATATATAGTGAGATTTGGACAATGAAATGGACTTATTTTTTTATTGGAAGATAATTTTCTCCAGTACTACTCACATTGGAGCACAGTAGTCTCTTTGTCCTGAGTATATTTTTTCTTTAAGCAAAATCTTCACAAGGAAACTTTGGGCTAGAAATTTTAAAAAAGATTAATCCATTGGTTGTTTGTTAGATGAAGTGATATTAGTTTTATGTATTGTAAAATCTTTATTTCAACAATCTCTTTATTACAACAGGGCTTTTGGTTGGGACTCTTGATTCAGTCTTAGACTCTACTGCTAAAGTTGCTCCATTTCGCATCCTACACCAGACACCCGATTCTCAAGTTTACCTGTCAATTGCATGTGGTGAGTACAGTTTTTAAAACATAAAATTCAAACAAATAAGGGTACTAAAAATTAAATATTTTCATTTATTTATACTCCCCAGTTTTGATTTAGAAATGAGTTAAATGTGCAACTTTATATTAAGACAAGAGCAAGATTATAGATTATTATGGTTTTTTAAAAAATCTATTAGTGTGAGGGACCTGAAGCATGTGTTCCAGCAAATTTTGGTCCTACTACATGATTCTTTTTTTCAACTTGCTTCACCGAACTGCTGAGAAGATGAGAACTTCCCATGAAATACTTCGTTTTTTCTCTGATAACTCAGATTAAGGGAATCAAGTGCAAAATTAAAAATTGCCCCCAAAGAGAGTATAAGCCCCCCAAATTGAAACATTTTTATTTACACACCTACTTTCTCACAAAAGGGGTGTCTTACAGGTAATGCTACATGTTCATTCATGCCGAGATAGTTCAAATGCCTCAAAATATATATATTGTAGATAGAAAATGAATTAGGATATCCTTCCTAACAAAACAACTCAAGATTTTTGTAAAAACCCACATTGATAGTTTACTTCTTTTATTATGCCTTTATGATGTTGGTTTAAATTAAAATCCCAGATTTCCGGCCTATTAATATTGAAAGACTGCCTTTTTCTTTCTTTTGTTTCCTCCCTCTCTTCTCAAGTAGATACACTTTTTAAAAAGTATGGAGAAAAAAATAGTTACAAACAGAGAGAGAGGGAAGCAAACCATAAGAGACTCTTAAATACAGAGAGCAAACTAAGGGCTGATGGGGGATGGGGCGGGAGAGAGGGGAAATGAGTGATGGGCATTGAGGAGGGCATTTGTTGGGATGAGCACTGGGTGTTGTATGTAAGCGGTGAATCACGGGAATCTACCCCCAAAACCAAGAGCACACTGTATATACTGTATGTTATGCAATTTGATAATAAATCATATTTCAAAAATAAAAAAATAAAACATGTGGATTCTGGGTAGTTCATATGTGTGAACATACAGCATAACATTAATTTTTTAAAGATATGTGGCTTGTTTTTTGCATCTTACTATATATTGTCTTTAGTGATGCTGGTGAGTGTTTTCTCCTGGATCTTATTTTTTTAATAGTTTTATTTATTTTTGAGAGAGAGAGCATGAGGAGGGGAGGGGCAGAGAGAGAGGGAGGCAGAGGATCTGAAGCAGGCTCTGCACTGATAGCAGAGAGCCTGATGTGGTGTTCGAACTCACAAACCTTGAGATCATGACCTGAGCTGAAGTCAGATGTTTAACCAACTGATCCACCCAGGCACCCCTTTCCTGGCTCTCAGACATTATACCTGCTGACATCATGAGACATTTGTAAGCTCTACTCTAAATCTGGTTGGTAGAAATTATTTAGGGAAAAATGTCCATTCTACTTCAAAAAGGGGCAGTTATTATATCACTTATTCCCCCAAATTAACATGATGCAGAAATAAAATAATTACCTACTAATGAAGCTTTCTTTAGACCTAAAGGACCCCAAAAAAGACTTAAAATTTTCCCATGGCTTGTATTTGTGATTCCTTAAAGAAAATTATTACACATGGTACTGTGACTTTAGTAACATGAATACAGTTTCTAACTGGATTATAGGAAATAGGCAGTTTTGCAGTTTCAGTAAATTTGTTAATATGTCACTTCCGTATATCATAAAACATACTAAAAGTCAAGATGTTTCTTTTGAGTGAAATTTTTGTAATCCACAGTGCTGGTGAGATCTTTATGCAGTAATCAGGGAAGACTTACAGATATTGAAATGTTCTTCAAGCCAAAGCTACCCAGAGCCTAACTAATATTTAATCTGACTCTCAACAAGCCACCTACTACTGATCTGGCAGGTCACACGGATTTACTTACTTGTAGTAAGGTTTCTAACCTCTTTGATGAAACTGCTTTAAGTTAACTAGGCCCTTTAATGAAAAGGGTGACTGAACAAAGGCTTTACCTTCTAATATAAGTAGAGTTGCCACTGCTGAAATCCACATTTCACATAGTATTATGTGCATGCTGTTTGTAGTCACACAGATTATATGCACAGTACTAACTGTATTATGTGAAGACCAAGGATTAAATTATATATATTTATGTTACTGGCACTTTATATATTCTCTTAAAAAATACTAGTTCCTGTGGGCACCAGTTACTGGCATCTTGTTTTCAGAATTTTGTCTTTTCTCATGAGTTGTATTTACTTTTTTCCCTTCTCATTAAATATTTTATTCTTTCACTTAACAATGAAAAATAGTATTTATCCCCACATATACAGATGAAATAGAGAATAAATGTAATTAATATCTTTATTCCTTTATGATCATTTTTGAAAATGAACAGATATACTTTTATTTCTTTTTAAACTAAGCTTGTAAATATCAAGAGCAAATTTGATGTGAAGTTTCCCTTCAGTCTTTTATTCTCTTTCGTTATGAATCAGGAGCCAACAGAGAAGAAATAACCAAACACTGGGATTGGTTGGAACAAAATATCATGAAGACCTTATCTGTGTTTGATTCAAATGAAGATATTACTAATTTTGTACAAGGAAAGATAAGAGTAAGTGATGGATATATTTTGTAGATGGAATACTAAAATCTTTGACCCTCTTATTTTAGGATCAAACACTATGTGAAAGTTCATTGTTTCACTGATAACCTTTCAGGATTGGCAGAAGTACATATTATGAATGTCAGAATCACTGCTAAAGAAAATTATAAAAGTCAATGATTAGTTTTTATTGCCCTTGTGAGTACTCTTAGGGATATTTTCATATCATTATTTCTTGAATTTAGAATTTGAATGAACCCTTCACTTATTCAAAAAAATATTTAGCACCCATATTTGTGGTAGCTCCTTGTGAGGCATTAGAAAAAGCCTAATTAGAAAATTTAAGAAAATTTGCTCACCTCTGTCCTGAGAGAAGCATGTATGTACACATATGTACCTATGTAGATGTACACAGTTTTAGTCAATGAACTGTTTAAATATATAAAATGTATTTTTGTTGGTAGCTAATAATTTTCAAAAAATATTTTGTCTCCTTTAGGGATTAATTGCTGAAGAGGGAAAACATTCTTTTGCAAAAGAAGATGATCCTGAGAAATTTCGAGAAGCCCTTTTGAAATTTGAAAAATGTTTTGGTTTACCAGAGCAGGAGAAGTTAGTGACCTATTACTCATGCAGTTACTGGAAAGGACGGGTCCCTTGTCAGGGTTGGCTCTATCTTAGCACCAACTTTCTGAGCTTCTATTCTTTTTTGTTGGGATCAGAAAGTAAGTGGTTTCTGTTGCTTACCATGGCTTTGAACTTGCTAACTGACCTATCAACTCTGTGATGTTGTTAGGTTGTATATAAAGTAATAGTATTGATATTAAGAGTAATTGTACATTAAAAAATTCACTTTGTCTGGAGAAAGAATCCTTTTAACTGGTTGCTTAATATAGGAGCCATTAGAAGTATGTATGGAATGCCTTGCATATTGTGGGAAGTGACTGGATATTAAATGATGATGGTGACCTGGCATATAACTCCTTTATTGTTCTAAACTATCTACTTTCTGCAATCCATGTTTTAAATTTGCAATATAAATGTAGTAGCCATAATACCTAATGGCCCATAGTTATAAAGAAGAATCAAACAGTAATGTTCATAGCACACATATAGCTTTTACATCAGTGGTAATACAATTTTGTAAAGTAACAGATTTAAATATAAAATCAAAACATTTTTTTAAAAAATTCTTTAAAATTGTATCTCTTCCTAAAATCACCAATTATTGTATGTAATGGTTATGCTTCAAAATTTGAACTAATCTTGAAGTCTAAAGTATTTTAGTTTGCAGCATTTTTCAAGTGGTTAGCTATTGTCTTAAAAGAGGTGATTGATAAGCATTAATCAGTATTGAGAAATTTAATCATACCTGCTTATAATTCTTATTTGCAGTAAAACTTGTTATCTCCTGGGATGCAGTCTCAAAACTTGAAAAGACTTCAAATGTTATACTAACAGAGAGTATTCATGTGTGTTCCCAAGGAGAGAATCACTACTTTTCAATGTTTTTGCATATTAATGAAACATACCTTCTTATGGAACAGCTGGCAAACTATGCTATAAAGAGACTTTTTGATAAGGAAACATTTGCTAATGACCCTATCCTTGATGATCCTCTACAAATCACCAAGAGGTATTCAAAGCTTAATTAATACTTTTTAAAGTATCATTTGACCAAAGAATAACAACATTGATTATCATTAAAAGTTAAGTGTTCTATGTTATATGATAATTTTTCTTTGGAATTAATCATTGATGTGTGGGTTTTCTTTAGTTTATTCAGATGCATTTTACAAGTAGTATCCCCTCCATTGAGTTTAATCCTTAGAAGTAATAGAAGTTAGGTTTGAAAATTATTGAGATCCAAGTATGATTTTCCCTGGAGTGCTTATAGAAATATAGAGATTTTTGTATGCATAGTTAGTTTAAATTTCTCTATGAGTAGTCTAGACAGCTTTAGGTCTGATATTGTAAAAATGTATTGTTTGTTTTTATTTTTATTTTTATTTTTTTTTAATATATGAAATTTATTGT